CCGCCCATGGGCCGCGCGCCCCGGCGCTGAGGTAGGCGCGCGGGCCTGGGGCTGCACCGGGGCGGGCGGGGGACAGGCCGAGGCCGCACGGCCCGTCCTGGCTAGAGACCACCGGCCCTCTCCCGCGAGGCGGCGAGGCCGGAGGCAGGGAGCGGAGGGGCCAGGGCCGGCGTGGGGGCCAGCCTAACAGGCTCTGCACCCGTCTTCGGCGGCCCGGAGAGGGACCCTCGCCCACGCCCTCCCTCAGCCTCAGTTTCCCCCTGAGAGATTCGGCGAGGGCCGTGGCGTTTCCGCCCCCGGGCTTAGCCCGGGGTTGAGATGTGCCCGAGGTCGGCTCTCTGCATCTTATTGCTCGCCATCCCGGTCCCCCGGGCCGGGTGGGGACGCGGGGGTGGGCGCGGTGGCGAGCCCGATCGGGAGCCGAGGCCCGGCAGGACTTTAGGGTGGCCCGTGGGCAACCTCCGCCCTGGTCTCCCGTCCCCACCTGCTCCCTAGGAGTCCACCTCCCTTCCCCTTCGGCCTCCTGCGGTCTTTCCTGGTCTCCTGTCATCGTCCCTGTGCCTCTGCCCCCTCCCCCTCTAACCTGAACTCATTTCCCGACCTACATAGAGGCGCCCCCTCCCCCGAGAATGCAGGGGAGCCGCGGCCAGCCTCTGACCCGAAGTGCCGAGGACACCTGGCTTTTCCCGGACCCTCCCCTGCTATGGGCCTCAGTTTCCCCCGCTGTCGAGTAGGGTGAAAGTCCCAAAGGGTTGGGGTGCTGGAACCTGTGCACAGGCTTTCCCTTTCCTGTGGGGAAGGGCCGCGCGCCGTGCCCACTCAGGGCTGCTGGTCGTCCCGGCCCCGGACTCGGTTTCCTGAGATTCCAGAATGCGGCCACCGGTCCTTCCCGCCGGGAAGAGCCGCGTGTTGGGGAGGGCGGTCAGGTGCAAGGTCCAGGCAGTCCCTCTCCCGAGAGCTGAGACCCTCTCTGCCTCAGTGCCCCCGGCTCCAGGCAGACGTGGAGCCCGGCCGGCTCGGGCGGGGACGGGTGCGGCGGGGGCGCGCGGCCGACCGGGCACCGGCGGGCGGCGGCGGCAGCAGCCATCTTGCCGCCCGGGGTTGGCTCCAGCCGCCCCTGCAGGAGGCCTCCCTCCCCCGCGCCCCCTCCCCTCCCTAGTGCTC